GGAAGGGAAGGGAAGGGAAGGGAAGGGAAGGGAAGGGAAGGGAAGGGTGAATCAGGCCTCCAGGAGGTGGAGGGTGGGTTGGATGTCTGCATGTGACTGAAATGACAACAGGTGGAAGAAGGAGTTGAGGTGAGGAGGCTGCAGGAGACACAGACATGTCCGATCATCTCTCTGGGCCAGGCCTGCCCTCTCCTACCTTGGTGGGCTGGAGGTGCTCCAAGCTGTTCTCTCTGAGGGTCGCCACAGCTCTGTTGGCATTTCGCTCCTGCTTGTACATCTGTGTGGTGGGAGGGATGGACGGGGCCACGGCTGTGTTCAGGTGAGTCCCGTTGCCAAATGCCTGAATGGCGTTTTCTTTGTGTGGGAAAGATGGAGAAAAGGGTTGTCAGGGCAGGGGGAAGCATCCCTTTCCCAGTCTCTTTCTCTGCATCATCCAAATGGACGCCTGAGGCTCTTCAGAGCTCCTTTGCTGGTAACACAGGAGCTGGACACCTACAGACCCTGCAGGACCGTGGCAGCTCCATGCCCCCATGCACAGAAGCCTCAGCAGCATGCAGCAGTGCCACTTACGGAGACAGATGTTGTTGGTGAAGAGGTGCAGGAAGCTCTCACACTCTTCCTGCCGGTTCCCGCTGGCGTTGCAGGTGCACCAGGGAGCGATGCTGGATGTTGAGTTGTCGATGTAGTTGGGGGTGATGGGGCTGCCTGCCGGGACCGACGGACAAGTGTTACTGCAGGGCAGGTACTTCAGGAAGGGTCAGTGACCCCCCTTCGTGCTCTCCTGGGTTACTCTGCCTCAGCCAAGCCCCTCCATGACAGCAGCAAAACCCTTCAAGTGCTGATGTCATGGGTCTGGTTTGCTCCCAGGGAAGAGAAGAGGAGCAGTCACAGCCCTTTTGATCACACCACCATCACCAAAGCCTTCAGTCAATTAAAAAGTGCTGCCAGTCCAAGGAATGGGCAGTTCCTGGGAATTCAGTTCCCTAATAACATTCAGAGAATAATGGAATGGTTTGGGTTGGAAAGGACCTAAAAATGATCTTGTTCCACCTCCTGCTATGGGCAGGGACACCTTCACTGTCCCAGGCTGCTCTAAGCCCCATCCAACCTGGCCTTGGGCACCTCTGGGGCAGCCACAGCTTCTCTGGGCAGCCTGTGCCAGGACCACCCCACCCTCTCAGCCAGGAATTCCTTCCCAGTATCCCATCAAACCCTGCCCTCTGGCAGTGGGAAACCATCCCCCCTTGTCCTGGGACTCCAGCTCTTGTCTGAAATCCCTCTCCAACTCTCTTGGATTCACTTTAGACCCTGGAAGGGGCTCTAAGGTTTTCTTGAAGCCTTTTGGTCTCCAGGCTGAGCATTCAAAACCTGAATGTGAATGAAGATTTTCATGCTGCCATAAAAAAAGCCAGTCTCAATCTCCAGAATGAAGGATTGAAACGGAATGAAATGTTGGCCCAAAAATGTCAGTCTGTCTCATACATCAGCACACAGCTGGTCCAAAGGCCACTAACACTTCTCTTTGTACTTTTGTCTGTGCCAACTGCTGCCAGCTGGGCTCTGCAGCATCTGAAACCCCAATCTGACTCTCTTTGAAGTTGGGAAAATAGCAGTGCATGGTGATTTCCAGTGGGATCACTGGTGATGGCATCAGGGAATCCCTGGCAGAGCAGACACCCTGGAACAGCCCATATATTTCCACTGGAGAGAGAAACTCGAATCTTGCAGCAGCCCATGGTTTTTCTCCCTCCACTCCAGCCATCCTAAAGTTACCCCATACCCATGGCTCAGTCATGTCACTGAAGGGAGAAAAACCAGCAGCAGGTTGGATGTGGCTTGGAGCAATGTGGTCTGGTGAAAGGTGTCCCTGCCCATGGCAGAGGGTTGGAATGAGATGAACTTTACAGGTCCCTTCCAACCTGAACCATTCCAGCACTCTGATGTTCCTGAGAGCTCAGCTCTCCACCTTACTGTCCTCATAGCCAGAGTAAGAGGAGACATTTCCCACCCAGAGGAAACATTTCCCACCCAAACTGGGAAGGAGCCCGCGGGAAGGAGGCGTCTCTTACCGATGATGCCGGTGTAGGCCAGCAGACAGGCGGCGTAGCTGTCCCTGCGGCAGCCGCTCGCGGCCTGCGGCGATGGCTGGCAGTTGAACTGGAATTCTGCGTAGCGCGACCTGATGGAGCCAGAGCACAAAATGGGACATTTTACCACAGGTGACTGAGGAAAAGGGGGTGCAACAGCACACTCGTGGTGTTTACAGAAGGGAACATGTTTGTAAAATGCTGCTGTAGGTGTTATCCAAGCAGTTTGAACACACGTCCTTTTACAATCTCCTGCCCACCCCAACAAACCCAGGAGAAGGCTTCAAACAGGTTCTGCAGTTAATGTTTTACAGACTTCCTCCTCCAGACTACATGAAAAGTCCAATCTTGGAAGAAATGTTTGTTTTCTGTTGTGTGAGGTTGGTTTTTGAGAGAAGAGCTGTTGTCAGGTATGAAATCAGTCTGTGTTGCCATTTTCTATCTTTTGGGTAATAACTTTGCCTAAAGACCCCAGCCTTCATTTTTAGTCTGATCTGATGAAACAGAGAATTGCTCTGGTCCAGTTTTTGTCTCTAAAGGCTCAAAATACAGCTGAGGTCAGCTCAGATCAAAGGAAATGTCCTACCCGTCTCCAGGGCTGCTGCCCCACCCTCTGTTGCAGATGCCCATTCTCAGGAGAAGGACTCTCTGGAGCCCGTGGAGCCTGTGGAGCAGGCAAATCATTCTGCCAAACACTTATCTGCCACGTGACTCTTTAGGCATGGACCAGCTCCTGGCATCTGGTGCTGTTTGGAGATCATAGGGCTCTCAGGCAGGACGTGGCAGCAGCTGGAGATCCTGATCCCTCTCAACATTCACTCCGTGGCCAGGCAGGAAGGGATTTCACATGGCACTTGAGCTGCTTTGGAAACTCAAGCAAGCACCAGCACTGACAAGACTTGGAGGGAGGGTTCTTTATGTGACAACCTGCACGCTCTGAGCTGAGAACGGAGAACCTCAAATGTTTACTCTGCCTGGGCAATCTCAGAAAAACTGAGCATGTTGCTCCTCCCAGACATCCTCTCTCTTCCAGACACATTGCTCTTGCTCCTGGTCAGTGTCCACATCCCAGTTTGCACTTTCCAGCCCACTTCACCCCTGTGCCCTAGCCTTCTTCTTTTTCTCATCTTTGTTCCTGTATTTGTCCCATATCAACCCTTTTCTCCTGTAACATGGACAGGCAAAATCTTCTTTCCCAAGACTTGCTGCATTGTTTAGAGATTTAAAGAAGGGAGACAGTGACTGTGGATTTTATATCATCCATATTAGCAGAACCCCCCGCTCTGAGCTGGGAAGTTCAAAGGGCTGGAGCTGTGCAGGAGCTGCAGTGCAGACAGGGTGAGACCTAGAGGGTTTCACTCCATTTCTTTATGATTTATTCCTGGCTCTCCTTGTGCAGAATCTCCTGATTCTGCACTGCTGGCTTTGACCAGGTCACACGTCAACCTCTTGCCCCCTCTGTGTCTCTAGAGGATATTTTATATTATATATTCAGAGACCAAGGGACCAGATAATTAACAGCTGTGCTGCTTGCAGGAAATAGTTTCCAGTCTCCTGGGGAGTAACACTCTCCCCTTTAAACCTCTTCTTCCCCCCATTGGGCCCTCTTGTTGTGTTAGGGAGAGGGCAGTACCCACCCATTTCAGGTTCTCTGGGTAGCCAGGGGGCAACATCTGAGCAGGGCCTGGTCAGCCCAGGGGCTTTGCATCTTTCAGAGTCTACTTCTGCACAGCTCAGGTGTTCCCCATGTTTCTGGGCTGCAGAGTGCGGAGGGTATCTGCACTTTCATGTTTCCAAGAGGATGCTGCTGCTCTCACCTTCCTTTGTGAAAATACGTAATATTTGTATTGTAATTAAAAGATGATGTGCTGGTAGGGGACGGCTGCTGGAAGCTCAGCTCAGGAAGTCCCAAACCCCACAGCAACTGGAGACTGAGACAATACAGGGAGGTGTGTCCTACACTTGTTCTTGTGCTCTTCCCCAGGTGTCTGCTCATGACCCAGCCTCGTGCAGGGCACTGGGCTGGGGCCCCCATGGTGCTGTTATTGTCTTGCATCTCTCACTGCCAGGTGGGCTCCACTCCCAAGAGCTCTGTGTGGATTAACCTTTGGAATATCAATGGCTTTTTGAGAAACAGGGAGGTGAAAATAGTACAGATGAAGGAAAAGCACTGGAGGGGTTCTGGTGTCAGCATGCACATGGGATGGGTGTGTGTGTGTGCCTGGGGCTGCATGGGAACACAGGAGCAAAGCAGGCTGGCCACAGACTGTGTGGGGGATCTGGAATGACACCGGGACTCTGAGACTCCTGTTGCAATCACCAAAACATAGAACCACAGAACCACAGAATGCTTTGGGTTGGAAGAGACCTAAAAATCATCTCATTCCACCCCCTGTCACGGGCAGGGACACTTTCCACTGTCCCAGGGTGCTCCAAGCCCTGTCCAGCCTGGCCTTGGGCACTGCCAGGGATCCAGGGGCAGCCCCAGCTGCTCTGGGCACCTGTGCCAGGGCCTCAGCACCCTCACAGACAGGAATTCCTTCCCAACAGCCCATCTAAATCTACCCTCCTCCAGCTTCCAGCCATTCCCCCTTGTCCTGTCACTTCTTGCTCTTGTCCAAAGTCTCGCTCCTGCTCTCCTGTAGGCTCCTTTTAGGGATTGGAAGGTGCTATAAGGTCTCTCCAACACTCAGCCTTGCAGCAGAAGGGTATATTTTTTGCATATGTCAATTAGTTTTTCCTAATTAAACAAGCAAACAAACATGGCTTTAAGGCCTTCACAAGTGCCTGTGGCTGTCAGGATACCTTGGATGCTCCTTGAGGATGCTCTGGGCTGAGGAAGAGGGACAGTGAGGGAGATGGATTGGTGAAAGTGGCTGTAAGGACCTCTCCTCCATATTCCTGCTTAGCCTGCACCTTCCTGGAACTATTTCTATAGCAGGTCTTTCTCTAGGATGAAAGCAAAAAATCCATAGAAAATGTCTAAAAAACCTCAGCATGATCCACTCACACCTCCTTCTGTCTGTTAAGTTGTTCTGTAGGACACCAGGACACGGCTCCGGGAAGGGGCCACCGAGGCACGGTGGGCTGTGGTGGGATGGTGCCCCAGGAGCACCCTGCAGGTGACAGCTCCAGCCACAGGGCTGTCACCAGCCCCTGTCCGAGGGAGGGCTCTCCCTGGGGGCCAGCCCTGCGTGTCAACCTGACCTGCAGACGTAGTTTTCCCGGCAGGAATCCAGAGGCGCCAGGCAGTTGGGCTTGTCCTTGGACTCGTAGGAGCAGGCCGGGACGATGGTCTGCCGGCGGCGCTCGGCGCAGGCCGTGTCCTCGCAGGGGCAGAAGAGCAGCTCGTGGGTGTACTCCGGGGGCACGCGGTCGAAGAACTTGCGCAGGGCCTTGTGGCACTTGGAGCGGTTGCAGGTGTCGGCCCGGGCCAGGCGCCGGATGCAGAAGGAGACGTACTCCGTCCGCAGCCGCTGGCACATCTCATCCACGTTGCAGGCCTTGGCGGCGTCCAGACACCGGTTCACCTGTGTCACCTCATTCTCAGACCCTGTGGGGTGGTGGGACACGGTCAGGGGGTCTGTGCTGACCTCCCCGCCAGCAGCACCCCTGGGACCTTCATCCCCACCCTGCTCCCGTCCATGGCCACCTCGGTCAGACCACACCTGCTCCAGGAAGGCAGCGGAGAGGGTGAAGCGTAGGTTTGTGAAGGACCACATCCCCTTTCCATATTCATCTTTTCCCAAGAAATGCCACAGTCACAGACCAGACTTCACCCCCAGAGCTCCCTTTGCCAAGCTCGTATATTTAATAAAATGAATTTTGCTTTAATCTGGGCATCTGGTACCACTTTGCTAATGCAAATTAACCAGCCTGAGGCCTGGAAGACAGCAGGCATCAGAAAATGTGTCTACTTAAAGCCATAGGTGGATCCACTCGAGTGCTGGGATCTCCCCTAATGGACCTCCCTGTTTCTGCAAGTTGCTCAAGATCAAAGACCGAGTCAGTGGCAAGGCTGGGTGTCTGACACATGGGTGTCTGCACCAATTCCTGCCACCTCAGCCTCACTGCCCTGGCTAGGGAGTTTCTTTGGCCTCTGCAGGGTCATGTCTGCCTTTGGCAGCAGCTCTGTTAGTTCACCTCAGGATCTGCCCAGCTAAGTGAGACCTGTCTGGGTCACAATGTGCCCCATCCAGACCAGTCCTTCCCCATGTCCTAAGTATTGACAGTGCCTTCACGGGGTGGGGTCAGAGGTACCACCCAGCTTCGTGCCCCTGGGACCTGATGCTGCTGCCATGTGAGGGCACATGGTCTCTCCTCACACCCTTTTCAGGGTCACCCTTCACTCACATCAGCAAAACCACTCTGCATGTCAACCCCCCTAAACTAGAGGAGAAAGAATGTCCCAGTCTGGGTGGGAGAGCAGAGATGTACTGTGGGATGCAGGGAAGGTGAAGGAAACCTGCTGTAAGAGGAAAAGTCAGGAAAAAGAAGCAAAAACTGTATTGATGGATGAGAAAAACTGTGTCTGCAGTGGGAAAGTAGGGATCTCGTGAGTTGATATGCCAACAGCCTTCTCTGTAAATACCGGGAAAAGGGAGAAGGAAAGGTATTTGTCTAACACTGGTTGTAGGGCTGCTTCCAAGGTGGATGGGGGTCTGTTTTATAGAGGGGAAAAATGCTAGAGTGTCCCTGCAGGAGTCAGTGGAAACATCAGACTGTGTCTGATTGAACAGATAAAACAAGGGTCCTTCAAGCTTGAGGGAGAAAATGAATCTGAAGCTGGTTTTCACCTCTCTGAATTAAAATAATGACCTGCAGCACACCAGACGGACTTTCTCCCCAGCAGAGAAAGATTTTTCCACTAAGGAAAAACCCCAGAATGATAAATTCCCAACGCAGAGTCAAGCCCTATCTTTGACTGGGAGTTAAAACCAGCCAGTCACTGCTGACAAGTGTTGAAATGTTGACAGTATCCCTGAGCACTTCAGAGCTGGCTGCCCTCCTTTATTTCCCTGACTTCATCACATGCTCCTTCTCCCAACATTTATTTCTCCCTTCCTGTCTTCTCCTGTTGCTTACAGTGAGCTGAAGTCAAATTCCAAGTTTTTCAGTTATTTTATGATGGGTGAAAGTTTTGCTTGCTGTGCTTCTATCACTAAATACTTACCTTTAAATCTGCCCAGAGATGAATTTTGTCAGAGCATTGGTTTATGCTGGGGAACTGCCAGCTGATGTGTAGGAAACAGTTACTTGGAAGGGTTTCATTACCCATTCAGCCAATAAATCACAGGGACCATGCTGGATTCTCTCCTCTTCCCACGCAACACCAGTGGATGTGCTTTTTAAATCACTGCTACAATTAGAGTGGAGGGATATGGATCCATTTGTACAGTTTTTGTAGTGACCATATATTGTTTATGTAAAATTTAGTTTTGTATACCTGTTGTCCATTTGGCCTGTGGTCACAGAGGTGTCTTATGTTTCAACAAGTTCTTAGGATTTCTTTTTGGTCAGTTTGAAAGAGGGTCCTTTGGCAGTATTGACCACATGACCTTGGACACTGGATAGGCAGAGGGCAGCTGGTCATAAATTATGTTATAATGAAGATATTGATTAGCATGAATAAGGACAAAAAGGTTAAGAAATTTCATGTCCCTAAGTGGATGCCAAATCCTCTGAAGAATCCCTGCTGCTCTGGGCCCTTTTGCTTTGCTGCACAACCTATTTCCATTTGCTTTAAAAACCTGAAAGTGTGCTAACCATGCATAAAAATCTGCATCCCTTGATTTCCCCTTGCTCTGAAGCTTTCTAGGATTCAGCAGAAGGGGAAAACCTCCAGTAAAGAAAACCATGACCCAGCAAAGAAGATTTCCTGTCCAGGCACCGATCTGCCAGGTGGAGTCAGTGAGAGCGAGGTCAGGGAACCCCTCCCATCCTCCTGCTCCACTTGTCCAGGGCTGATGGGTCAATTTGCTCCAGGACATTTTCACCCAGCAGGTGCCTGGCCATGGTGGGGACTGCAGACACTCACCAGCTGCAGGGACACGCTGCTCCATCCTCACTTGGGTGCAACTCCAGCTGTGGATGTCACCCAGAGCGAGGCACACATGTGGAAAAGCTGTTTGGGCAGATCTGCCAGAGACACAGGAGGAGCACATTGCCTGCTCCCAGACAGGCAGTTTGGTAAAACACCCACTCTTGGTAAAGCTTCCCCGTGGCTGTGGTGAACAGGCTGGCTGTGGTGGCAGCTGTGCCACTGGTGATGGACAGGCAGCCACACTCACCTTTGAGCTGCTGAGCTCTCGAGGAGTTAAAGGTGTCAGGCTGTTCTGCTCAGCTGTGAACAGGATTAGATGCAGAGCAGAACAGGCTCTGGATCCTGAGGTTGCCCTCAGGGCAGGTGGCTAAAGGCTGCGGCTGGAATCAACACATAAGTTGAGTTACCAACCTTTTTCCTGCAGAGCTTGATCCTGTAACTGATGTGGAAGCACCTTCTCAAGCCTCACAACGCCCAGGCAGCTCTTTGGTGAGGTGTCTGCATGGAACAGATCACCCACCTGCTATGGACAGTGAATGTGCCTAGGATGGGTCATTGCAAGGGGTCTTTGTACCACATCTCTAAGTCCCAGCCCTTCATAGTACGGACTCAAACAGCCAAAAGACAAAAATCACAAGTGTTTTTTCCCAGAACATGCAATAGTTTAGCACAGGAATCAGAGGCAACTCCTTGGAAGAACAATTGCCAGACCTGAAGGAGCACAAAGGAGTTCCCAGTCTGCAGAGTGAGACCCCACAGCTCTCCCTCCCTCCCTCCCTGCCCCGGGAGGGGTGGGAGCATTTCCCACCCACCTACCTGCAGTGATGGATGCCAGCCGCACGTAATCAAAGCCCCTGATGAACGGCTCGTACGGGGAGCTCTCCAGGACATTCATGCCTGGGGGAAAGAGGGAAATCGGTGAGAAGGCAGATGAGGCTCCCGAGGGATGGCTGAGATGCACAAGGTTGGACATTTGCAGTGAAAGATTGTTTGGTCTAAAGGGACTGAGCTCTAAAGACCACAAGTGAATGGATACTCAGAGTCATGGGAACAGGTGTGTGGACACATCCTTGGAGAAGGGAATAGAATGTAACTGGCTTTTAAAAGATAGATCTCGGTTTTGGAGTGGGGCAGCCTGTCAGGGACTGTTGAGCTGTAACTCTGTGTAGCTCAAGCTCTGGGTGTACTGCAGGGATTGCCAGACAGGACACCAGGCTGTAGCACAGCCTCCTGCTCATGGGCAGAGCTCAAACCACCAGCCCCCTACACACACAGGCTTTCCAACACTTCCTTCATTATTGCTGTTTCTTCTGTGTCCCTCCCTGAGTCAAAGGTCCTCACCTGTTTTTAGGACACAGACAGGGCTGTTCACAGGGCTGTGTGTGATAACACAATCCCTATTTACTGTCACCTCTCCCTTTCCCCTTGCCAACAGCCTTTCCTTACTTGGCACAAAGCTAATGACCCGCAGCTCCTGCAGAAACTTCCTCTCTTTGTTTTTAAGTCTCTGGGAGCCTGATTTTATTCAACTGGTGCTTCCCTTTCATCTGTGCAATGGTCTGTAATGCCCCATCATCCTGATGGATACCATGGAATATCATTGAAGCAAACAGCTCAGTATCTGTTGGTTTTTTATTAGACATTTGGATGGATGTGGGCAGCAGCAGGAGATGCCCTGGCTGGGATAAAAGGACCAGCCAGGCTCGTGCTCCGGGCATGTGCTGAGCTCCAGCAGGAAGGAATGGCTCCGTGTCCACAGCCCTGTGCAATCACCACTGCTGCATTACAAGGCAGCTTTACACCTTCATTGAAATATCTTGCATCGTTACTGACTGGAGAGGGGCCCATTTGTATTTTCCAGCATAGAAGTTTTATGTCCTGATGATAAAGCACCTTATCAGAGAGTTGTTATCGGGTTGTCATCATGTTATTGTGTCTCTAAACGGGAAGGTGGCTAAACATGGGCAAGCTCAACAGAAGCTGAGTAAATAGTGTGTTTTGTAAATTCCCTGAGCACAATTGTTTTTGCAAGAGGGCTTCTAGGAAGCTTTTTGCAGCCTCCTGGGTATGTGTGACTGAGAAACAAAGCTCTACATGGACCGTGTGGATTTGCTTCCTTTCCCAGTCAATTAAACATGTGTAAGGACTCTGAAACATGGGACTGCTACGAAGTATATCTCCCTGGGGAAATTAAGGCAAGGAAATCAAAAGTTTGGTGTGTGAATCTGCCTTGCAAATGAAGTCAGTTGTTTGAAAAAGAGTGGGGCTCAGGACATGACAGCAGAGGAGCAGAGCTGCTGTCAGCCTCCAAGGCCAGCCCTCTCCCAGTCATCTGCAAGGTGGAAGTCCCAGGCCAGTGGGCAGAGTCCATCCAGCACCAAACTGCTATTCTGCATCTGGAGACTCCGAGCGAGCCCCAGCCTGCTCTCAGCACTCCTTGTCAGCCTCCCTCTTCTCTCCCTTCTAGTGGGAGGTGTCCCTCCCTGCCCATGGCAGGGGATTAGAATTAGATGTTCTTTCAGGTGCCTTCCAACATAAACCATCCTGTGTCCCAGAGCTGGAAACCCTCATGACAACTCTGCCTTACCCAGCCATGTCACAGGTGACCTGTTTCCAAAGCCTGAGCCATGAGGGTCAGCTTGGAAGGAGCTGTGACATTTGAGATGAATGGAGGAGCTGGATTGCTTCCCCAGGCTTCCCTTCAGTGGAAACAAATCTGCCACATAATTATGGGAAAGACCAGAAACTGGAGGGTGCTGAGGTCAGTTTGTAGCACCATGCTCTGCACCCTGCAAGCTGTGGCACCTGAAAGCTTCCCAGGAACTTGATCAACCAGTTTCCATCCTGGCAAGCCCGTGCCCTGTAGGGTCCATCCTCTTTGTTTTGCTTGGCCTTTTGGCCTGTGGTCTCACCCCTGCACTTTTCCTGTCAGGTTTCTGCTAGCAGTGTTTCACAGCCCATGGCTGGAAGGCTCTGTTTAATTCCCCATTTTAATTTTCATGGTGCATAAAATACTCACCAGCCTGACAAGGAAGAGTTATGGTCACTGAGGTGCAATTTTATGGTGACTCTTAAAAAACTCTCAAAATGCAAACTTATTGAATACTGGCTCTGGGAACTCTTTAAGTTCCAACTTGATGTCATCAGCCCCAAATCTTCACTGACCCAAAAACACTGGTGCACTTGAGCCATTCTGAGAGAGTGATTTTTTAAGTTCATGCTGTTTTTCCTCAACATAGCCTGTGCTTTATGTTGTGTTTCTATAAAATCTACCGTGTTCATGGTCTTAGTTAACATACTTAGATACAAAATATGCATTTCTCCAACAAAAGATCTCAGTGTCTATTAGGAATGTCATAAAAAAGAGGTTGGGTTAAAAAAAAAGGCAAGGAGGCATCTCAGGTTTTCAGTACTGCTTTCCCCAAAATGTCAATACCATGGGGATCAATAGGATCATCAAATCTCTTGAGATGGAGGAGGCCCACAGGGACCCTCAAGTCCAGCTCCTGGACACAGGACACCTCAACAATCCCACCCTGTGCCTGAGAGCGTTATTCAAACTCTCCTGGAGCTCTGGCAGCCTTCGGACTGTGCCCATTCCCCGGGGAGCCTGGGCAGTGCCTGAGACCCTCTGGGGGAAGATTCCCAAGATATTCCCTGATATCCAACCTAACCCCGTTCAACACAGCTTCATGCTGTTCCCTCGGGTCCTATCAGTATGTCCTGGGACAGAACAGGACAACACAGGGGTATTTTGCAGCAGCTTTGGAGCTGAGGGGCTCTGTGGAATGGCCCATGAGCCATTTCAGGAAGATCATCAGAAAGGAGCGTCCTGCTCTACTGACCTTCCATCAGCGTGTGGTGGATGCTCCAGTAGACGCTCAAGCAGTGTTTCTCCTTCTTCATGCCCCGCTTGCACTTGCAGCCGTAGAGCTGGCTGGAGAGCAGGGCCGTCACGGTGTTGCGGCACTGGCTCTTGGCACCGGGGCCCAGCTTGTTGGCGCCGTTGCCGGCGATGCACTGCCGCAGCGTGCGGAACTTGGCGCTGCACACCGGGTCGTTGGTGCAGGACTCGCCCGCCTGCAGGCAGTCCCTGCTCGAGCCCGCCGCCTCCGCCATGCCTTCTGCAAGGGAACCGAGAGCCTGTCAGCTCATGGAGCAACCCCCGCCAGAAACGGGCTGGGTCTCCCGCTGTCTCCTTCTAGGCTGCCCAGAGAAGTTGTGGATGCCCCGTTCCTGGAAGTGTTCAGGGCCAGGTTGGATGGAGCTCTGAGCAACCTGGGACAGTGAAAGGTGTCCCTGCCCATGGCAGAGGGGTGGAACCACATGACCTCTGAGGTCCCTTCCAGCCTAAATCATTCCATGGTTCCATGACAGGATCAGCCTGGTAGCAGCATTATAGGTTACAGAACCTTGACCAGTCCCTGGTCTTCTTGGAGAACAAAAATATTTTCAAACCCTTTCTTTCCCAGCTCTCTATCTCATTTCTGCCCTTCAAAGGTGACAGTAGCCCCATGTTAATGAGACCCTGGCCTCTGCTCCTTGAATATGATTTAACTGTGCCTACACCTTCCTGGAGCTATAAACGTCTCTGTGTGGGTGTTTTGACATGTAGTCAGCCCACATATATCCCAGGAATTGGGACATTCCCAATTCACTGTCACCATCTCCCCAGGACTCCCACTGTTCCTGTTCTGGCTTTTTCCAAGCTTTTGTAAATTGTTTTCAGAGTTCCTCTACCAACAGAAGACGCTGTTCCCCATTTGGAGAGGAGAGCCCAAAGCCTGGAAGATGGTGTTGCTACACGTACACCAATAAATGAATCCATCAGGGCTCAGTGGTGCTGCACCTCAGTGCCAGGAGCAGACCAATCCTGTGTTACTCGTTGCTCTTCCTCACTCCAGCAGTCTGGACACATCCAGCTGGGTTTTTGGGGATGTGCTCACCCCAAGGCTCGTGGCTGCAGTGCTGCTCCTGGCAAAGGGCAGGGCCAGCAGCTCCGCCGTGCTCAGCAGGACGTGGTTGTGCAGCACCCAGGTAGTGACAGGTGACAGCTGTCATGGTCTGGAGCATTTGACATAGATCAGACATGACTTCACCAGGGCTTGGGAGGGTGAGGAAGAGGCAAACCTGGTTTATGGAAGGGGAGAATCAGTTCCAGTGCCCGTACAGTAATTTTGGATCCTGCTGTACTATAAAAACAGAAACTGCTGTCATGACCTTGAAGGAGAACTTCTCAAATACTTCCCAAAGGAACTCTCTGTCTCTAACATAATTTGTCTTCCCTTTGGATAGGAACCAGAAGGGAAGGGATAGAAAATAACATCTGCTTTTTGACTCCCTCCGGTGTCTGCTTCTGGTGAGACCCAGCTTGGACAATATTAGAAAATCCTGATTCCTGTGAAAAATGTGAGCCCCTGATCTCCATCTCTGAGGGCTTCATGGAATCTCTGCTTTCTCCAAGACTCTAAGGATCTCTTCATAAAGTCCCATTTTCTGCCTTCCAACTTCTACCTCTCCTTAATTTCTGCACCTCCCAGTTCAGCACTCCAGCCCAGTACATCCATTTCTGTTCCCTCAGCAGTCACAGTGTGTTTGCTAAAAGGAGCTGTCTCTGTTGCTCTTGATTAGAGTAGAAAGTAGCAGCTGGAGTTCAGATACTTCAATTATGTTTATTACAAACTTTGGGTGAACCCACCAGGAGGTTTCCTCCTGAAACATCCCAGTGGAATCTCAAATGAAAAACCTTTCATCTAACTGCAGACTATTTCGAAGTGCCTCATGGCCAACGTCAAGCTTTCAGGTATTTCAAATCTCACACCATCTCAAATCTGAGTTCTCCTGCCCCTGATTTATTCATAGACCTGGTTTATTTAGCACTCGAGGCTGGTTTGGATCTGCCAAACGTGGAGAGAGAAATTATTTCCAACATGTGGGAAACTCTGCCTGGGGCTGTCATATACTGAAGAACTTCGAACACAGGGAACCAGTTGCCTTGAAATATCATTTGGGCAATTTGCAATTTCACTGAGATCCATAAAATGAGCTCGAGAACATATCTGAGCAGAATCCATAGGAATAAAGGAGAAAATACTTGGCTTCTTTTACTGTGGTTTTCTCCAAAGGATCTCCTGTGAATGAGGATAAAGCCCAGCAGGTTGTATTCTAGAAGAGATGACTTTGTCAGTGTCCTGTCAGCTGCTAGAAAAGTAGGTTAAAATAGAAATTATGACCTTCCTTCCCTTTCTCCGCTACATGAATTGCAGAAGATACTCCCCAGGATGGTTATAAACACAACCAGCCTGTAAAAGCTGTAAAACACTTCGGGAGCTCACTTTAAATAAATCAATCAGATTGACCATTTGAGAAATTTTCCTGTAAAATTTTAAATAAATATATCCTCAAACCGAGCCTTGCTTCATAGAACAAAGGCCAGGGGTGAATATTTACAGCCCAAACCCACAGCATAAAACACCCCCATTCAGACTTTATGACAGAGGTGCTTGAAGCCACTTGGAGTGTCACGAATGACCTGTTCTGTAATTGTGTCACTTAAAAACCAAATCATTCAGGAGCTTTTATTGTTAGCGCCGTCTTTGCAACTGAGACAACATAACACCACGTTTTTCTCCTCACACTGCCCCTGAGAGAGTAATTTTATGCAACATTAAGACAGCACCTCTTAGGGAAAAAAATAAATCTCCATGACTTATAAAATTGATAGTGCTTCCTAACAGGCAGGGACAAGAGCAATATTAGGTCTTCTCTCCCAAAGATGGAGTGGCCTTTCTGGTTTTGCCTTCAAAAATAGCTCCTGGCAGGATCTGTGCCACAGGATTCTCCTCCTCCTTGACTGACCAGGGAATTGGGATATGCACCGAGCTGTGCATGGCTTGGGCTTTCTGTGTCTCTGCTTTTCTAATTGCAGCCCTTCCAGCTCCCTCTGCTCCCTTTAAAAGGCCATTTGTCTGGAGTTTTATTCCTCACTCCCTGCTAATTTCACGCTGTTTACGGTGGGCAGATGGAGTAATGAGTTTATTTTCGCATCCTGTTTGTAGCTGTGCTCCACATCTGTTTCTGCTCACTCTTATCTCAGTGCCATTCACCCAGAGTTACTCCTCAAGTGTGGGAGTAGAGAAAAATCTGTCTCTTGCCATTTGAACAGACCCTCAGTCCCTCTCACACAGGTGTCTCAAAGGGCATTGTGCTGGCCCAGCAGATCTGACTCTCCTCCAAGGGGATAATTTCCCTTCTCAAGGAGGTGCAGCTGTGCTGGGGGTACAGAAGTGTGAAGGTGATTCCTTGTGGGCTGGAAATAGTGAATAAAACGCCTGGAGAGCACCAATGTGCAGTCCTGTCACTCTCCCTTTCTTACTCACCTTGGGCTTTAGACGTTTTAGCAGGAACCACACCAGTTCCACCGGGAGCTTTGGGATTAAACTGGATTATCAACATGTATGAACTGGGCTCCAGTTTATATATGAATTCAGCATGAATCTTTTTACACTCCTCATTTGAGGGGCTGGTGGAATTTGCTGAGAACATCTCAGGAATGTAAGGTCTGAGGGTGTTGAAGCAATATTGGAAAGTTCAGCCCAATAACGTGCTGTGTACATTAAAAATGTGCTGCCTGACTCTTTGTCCCTCCAGTTCTGACCTTTCACCCCTTCCTTCCACGTTATGAGCAATCTTTGGTCTGCACTGGATCTGTGCCTCCATGCAGGACTTTACAGATACAGAGGAGATAGGAATAAACACAGCAGCATCCACTGAGTATTTCCTCTTCCTCCACTGATCCATGTAGGAGATAAGCACACTGTATGGACTCAAACCCAGAGGAAACATTCCTCTGATCTGTCTTGCTGTTTATCATGGATTTATACATGACACCCAGATACCATGACAAGTTGTATCATGTCTCCACTACCCTTAAGGAGAACAGAATTCATCATGAAAACCCTCATAATGACTTGGGGTGAAGTCTCCCTAGATATCATTATTCCCCTACACTAACACATCCTTTTTGACAAGGCTTCAGCCTTTGTTTTCTAAAGATGCCTCTGGAATGCCCCATCCTGCTGGACTGACTCAGCCAGACTAACCACCAAGTCAGCTATAAACAATATTCTTATGAAAGGAGGATGGAAATCACGCTCACTGCATGACCTGCTTGTAAATAGTTGTGCATCTATTTTAAACAAGTTTAATCCATCAGACCAGGAAGAAGGCTTAAAACTTTTGTGGATCCATGAAGTCCCAAAGTGGGAACAAGTTCTTCTGAAATGCTGGGAATCTGAAACTCAGATCACACAACAAAGTGCAAGTTTTGGCAGAGAAAATGATCCATGTCACATGGATTCCTTCTGGAATCTGGGGACACCATGATATTGGTGTGCTGGGAAGCTTCAGTCCCTGACTTCTGCTGGAACAGAGGCTCTTCTCCCAAAGCCAGGCAGTCATAGCAGACAGGGTGATTAGGGTTTGTGATCACCAGGATCTCAACACTGGTGCCTATAAAATAATCATCCCATCCTGTGGGATAACTGGTGGTCTCTGGGTACAAAGTCCTCGTATGTCAAAATGAGACAACATCTGGCAGAGAGCAGCAAGGACAACTGAGGTCTCAAGGGCCAAAGGTGACCCTTGAGTACTTGCAGTGGATATAAGACATTGGGTGCCACCTAAATTTGACTTTAAAATGTCCTGGCTGAAGGGAAAGACAAAGATTCTCTGCTGAGGCTGAGCAAAACAAGCTTAGAACCAGAACAGCTCCTTTTTTTGGTCTAAATTTGCCTGGGTCTGCTCAATCACAGCACCTTGTGATCTTCTTTCCCACCTCTGACCTGTCATGTTCCTCATCCGGAGATCTCATGTGCTGGGCAGGGCTCACACATGTCCCTGTTCACCTGAGAGATGATGGAGAACAAGGTTCCCTTGTCTTTCTGTGGCTTCAAGTCTGATATTTGACCTGCACAGAGACCCATAGGACAGGAACCACAGGACCATTTCGGCTGGAGAAGCCCTTCCAGCTCTCCAAGCTCCAGCATTCCCCCTGCACTGCCAAGGCCACCACTGCCCCCCAGTCCCAAGTGCCACATCCACACAGCTTTGAAATCCCTCCAGGGATGGACACTCCACCAACCTCCTGAGCAGCCTGTTCCAGTGCCTGACCATAATCCAGCGCCTGACC